TGTTTTTACTTCTAACTTATGAATTCTAACTCATAGCATATTTTTTCTTTAAAAAAAATAATTTAAGCAATTTTTATTAAATATATTTTTATTTTAAATTCATTTTTCTCATAATGCACTTGTAAAAACAACCTTCGTATTATGATTTAAAATAAAAGGTCATATCAAAAAGAATCTAAATCCACTTATCATCTATGCCAACAATTGGCGGCCACATGAGAGAATTTTCTATCCTTGGGTGTATTTGAGACAGACATATCCACACCCACACACGCCAATAGCCTGAATTAATTCAATTGATTTCGGGCTGGCCTTGCAAGATAAAAAGTATGTTTTCTATAAAGACCTAGGGAAACGGAAAGAAAGCGCCCAGTTCATGATAATTCTCCCTCTTCGTAGGCGCATTGCTGGGTGGATAAGCTTCTAGACAAAGAAAGTTATAAACCACAAGAAACTATACATTCAGAGTCAGCACACACGCGCACACACATGCACGCACATATATATATATATCAGGTAACCAGTGGGTTTCTAAGCAAATTGTCAACACAAATATTCCTGTTTAACATCCATTGTCCATTGATGATCAACCTAAATTATTCTACTTATAAAACATTACCGATACAATATTCTGTTCCATAAGTTAAGCATGCCACCGGGAGGGAGCATGATCATGCACTGTGTGCCACAGGGACCCAAGAAGAGTCACGAGACTGCTGTAAAGTCTCACATAATTGCTTTAGTGCCTTGCCGTATGATATAAACCCCATGAACCAGAATTCATGACCATCTGTTGTCACAACTTGGATGTACTTATCAGAAGGGTTCATTCTGTTTGAAGAAGGATTTACTGCTCTCAACCGATCAGGCTGCACCACGACCTATATATACATATATCGAGGGAGTTAAACAACAGAAAATGCTATCTGGAAAGTAAAAGGAAAACTTATCAGTTGCCTGCTAAAAGTTTTAAGCGAAATTATTAGAAATAGGTAACCAAATAAACGGGCCTGGTTCAAAGAACTAAGATAATAGATAAAGCCTTGTAAAGAAATAGTTATTGCATGAGTTCACATCAATCATTTCTGGCTTTCAGGTCAATGAAACCTGTAATGATTTCTAATTGCAAAGTGCAAAATTTGTTTAAATACTGTTCAAAAACTTTCTATTCAAGAAATAGAACATTGAAAAGCATGTGTTATCCAACTTAGATTAACAGAAATGAGATATTGATGGCAAGTGCATCGCCAAGAAATGTAGTAGAAGATTACAACCTTGTAATACATCCATTGCTGCTGTCCTGTGGGAGAATAATTGCAGAAGGGATGCTCACTGCAAAAGGCCACCTTTTTGGAGGATATATAAAGTGTCCCAATGACAGGTCCTGTGGAAGTTGATAAATAGCAAGCATATGCATTCAAGAACTTCTCTCCAGGTAAGACCTCAAATGTCTGCTGGAATACCTTATCATGTCCTCCTTCAGTAAGTACCTTTGTCCCTTGAGAAATCCTTGCCATTGCCGCATCGGTGAGACTAGGACTAACCTTGACTGTTTTTCTCAGAACACAAAATTACACACGAGAAACTAAATGATCGCATCCATATTTGAGAATTAAAACAAAGTAATTTGCATTACATGAACAAAAGAACCAAAACAAAAAAATTGGCTTCCTAATTTCCAATAGTACAGGTTTAACTCGCAAAAACAAAGTGGGTGCTTTGTGTTCCTAAAAATCATTAACTCAATGTTCTTGATGGGACAATAGGCCCGAGACACAATTCACACCCGTGTTTGGTCATAGACGATGGAGGGTAGCCTAACCTGTTGTTCTTTGATTAGGAGATTAGGTTTTAGCCTATGTTATTGGGTTTAATTCATTTGGACTTTTATTTGGGTTTTGTTACTGGATTTGATGTTATTCTATATTAGACTTTAGTTTATTTTTCTTGGGGTTCTGACCTAGTTATTGATCAGGTAGGGTTTGCTATTCATAAGCAATCTTCTTACATTTTGAAGACAGTTTTTGATGAATTAATAAAATTTAAGTAGTTGCAAACTTTACCTCCTCCTATCTCTCTTCTCTTCTCTTTTTCATCTCCTTTTCTTCTACTTCTCAGCTTCTTTCTTTCTCCCCTTTTAATTCTCTTAGATCTCTTTTGTACCGCATCAGTTCTACAAAGATCAATTCCCTTCTTGAAGTCCGGAAACAATGAACTCCTCAAGGTTGTAAAACATCCTTCAGAGGAGAATAATAATATCTGGCTTTTGTATTCCTGAAATGGTTCTCAAAGCCAAGGCAATGAATCCATTCCATCTGTTTATACCTTCTTCTTTTTCCCCTATTAACCTGTGTCTTTCCTCGTATCCATTCTATGAAGACATGCCTCCACATTCATCCATTCTCAAAGATCCCAAATTTACTTGAAAATAATTATAAAAAGGTCAAGAAGAGTGTTCCTTCACTTGGTTTCTCAACAAAGGCCAGATAAGCATCTTCGACTTTGCAATAAAAAACAAGCCATTTTGTCGGTTCAGTTTGTATTTGATCATAACTAAAAAAGCTGGTGAATCAAGGTGATCCCCAATCAGTCACAGTGTTAAAATTTAAGCAGATAGGGGAGGGGGGGCCAAAGGGACTTTCTCCTACTTTTATACGTTTATACCAGGCAAGTTCGTAGGCAATGCTGTATGGCACTTTTCTATGAGACTTCATTTTCTTAAAGATGAAAAGATAAACCCAATAAGCCAAGTAAAAAGAGGCGATGGAAGGTTTTTCCACTCGACATTGCAGTGGCATTAAATTTAATGATTGTGCATATTAAGGGCAGGCAAGAAGAATTTACTTAGTCCTGACTCTTGATTGATGGTAACATGAAGAGGGAAGGGAAAAGAAAAACTCACAGTGATGCCAGATGTTATCAGCATAGACTTCTGCTTTCCTAGTGGCCACTTCGACCCTTTTCCCGCATCGATTCAGAGCATCACATATCTTCCCCATCGATCCTGATAGAAGTAGAGCGATAATTAACAATTTAGATTATAATTAAAAACAAACACCACGAAAGGCACTCATGAGCTCAAAAGTCAAAAGATCTGACTCACTGTTGCCATATGTCCCATGTCCATCACTAGTAGCGGGAGGAACAGGAGCGAACTGGAGGTAAGGATTGTTGTTATTGTAGTCCATGTTGTGTTGAGGATGGAGATTGGGGCTCACTGTTTTGCGTCGGGGTTGCTGAGTTGTGCAGGTTATAAGGCAGCAAGACAGGTGCCACACTTTTCCTCCACCGTCCAAACGTCACTTCGATTTTAGCTCCACGCTATTATTCCCCGTGGTAACCTGCTTCGTCGGCGGATTTATTTATTTATTTATTCTAAGGTGGTATTTTCGGAGCAGCCTGTTTATCTACAGATATTAATATTCTTTTTATTAAAAGGATGCCTTCACATCGTTGGATGCATGCAAGACAACTTCAACAGCCTTCAAAATAAAATGCTTTTGGCTTTGATTGTGGAGTGGAATGGAATGGAATTAGAGTGATTCCATTGATCTTGTGGGGATATTGTATTTAAGTTGCAAGTGTGAGAGAATTTATACACGGAATCATGTACGGTATTTATTTTCATTGAGTTCATGTTTAATGTGCTTAGAGAAAAGCATCCAGTTTGGATAAGCTTTGTTGTGAGAAAGCATTCAAGTGCAATTAGGGAGCGTAGAAAAATGGAGGGCAAGAAAAAATTTCTGCAAGGCTCCAGGATTGTACGACTTGAGAGCATGATTCCGAGATTACGGTGTAGATTTAATGGGTGAATTTTAAAATATTATCATCTAAGTTTTTATTTGATGGAATAATATTGGTTTTGTATAATTTTTTTAAAAAATTTATAGGTAGAGTTTCATTTTAGTTGGATCATGTAAGTTTTTAAATTGATTTAAAATAAAATTTGATATCAACTGGATTTTATGCCAGTATATTACTCTATTGACTAACTAGATTAAAGTATAGTTAACAAAAATTAATTGAGAATTTAATTCATAATTTAAATTTTATATCAATTTATTTTACTTTAATTACGAGTTTTATGAATTAATCTAATTAACTTTTTATTATATAATTTATTATTTTTTTAATTTTATCTTTTACTATTTTGATTGATTATAAATTAAATTTTAGAATTAAATTTTATTTATAAAATTATTTTAGTTTCATGAAAAATAAAAAATTAATAAACTACAAGAATAATGAAGATAAAAAATTAATTTTCATTACCTTTTTATATGGAGTGCAACATATTTAATTTCTTATATTTGCTGAGAATTGAATCGTGATTTTCTGGTTGATATACAGAGACCATTACCATTAAATTAGAAGTCCATTGATGACATTGTTCTTGCTTGACTATTCAATTTTGTGCAAGCTTTTGCCATCACTAATAGCAATACAGGTTAAAAAATAACATTATTAGTTGTTGATGCAAATAAACTTGTATTGGTTTTTTGTTTTTATAAAAAAAATGGTTTCGAGTTCTATTTTCTAATAATAAACTTGAAGAGCTAGATTTAAATTTAAATCTAATCATCCTTATACATGCAGGGACATAGAGTTATTGAAGATAAAAAATTATATTATATCCTAGTAGTTAATGCTTTTAGATAATATAAGGTAGATTGTAGGTTCTATATTATATGCACAATATAAGTTTTCAGAGTGTTTTTGAAATTATAATGAATAATTTTTTTTTAGAAACACAATAATATATATATTTTTTATTTTCTCAATAATACATTAAAAAAATAAAAAAATATTATTTTTTAAATAAATACGATGCATATTCGACATTTAACCATTTAATGTTTATAATTACAAAGCACGCCCTTAAAATTGCCACTCATCAGGGTGGGTCTGGGCCTCTGACCATTGACCCATCACGAGCCACTCACAATTAGCAGTACTCGAAAGCAATTTAATTAATTAAAAATTTGAGAGTGACTTTACTGTTTCAGATAATTATGGTGATGGTATTCTGCAGGGGCACTGCGGTACAGTAGAAGGGCCAAGAAGCCAAAAAAGAAAAATAAAAAATCCAAAGCCAAAAGAAGGAATAAGTTCGGCACAGACAGGTACGAGAGAAAGAGAAAGATGTAAAGCTAATATCCTAATTCCTATCCCCCCAAAAAATGGCACTCTTGCCCACTTCGGGTCTCCGTTTTCAACTACTGTAGAAGAGAAAAGCCCCCATTTTCAGCTCTAATTCATATGCCTCGCCTCTTCTCTGTTCTACCCTTTCCAGGTTTGATTCTCTACTCTCTTACTGTGATTTTTCCTTTTCCATTCATCTGGTCTCTGTTATGGTTTCGGAACTTGATCAGTTGATGGTTTTGGGTAATTAGCTGGAAAGGTTGCTATTTGAATGTTGGGTTTTGCAAGTTTATATATACATAGCAGAGGCATTTTCTCTCTGGTTACTTGGTTTTAATCTTTTCTTTCTTTGCCGGTTTCTGAAGATTAGAGTCTTCCAAAATTTGTGTTGCAAATGATCTGGGTTGGACCCGAATTCATGCCAATGAAATCTGGTAACACGCTGGAGATGAACTGTACATTGAGATGTGAAGGAGTATCTTCTTGTGTACATGTATTGTGAGTTTGTGGATATATAAGAATGTATAGGAATGTGATTCTAGTACAGCAATCATGGACTGAAATATCAACTATAGCAGCAAGCAATGCAGAAGGTATCGCGAGATGCTTCATATTGCCATCGCTAATAGTAATTCTAGGCATTTCATTTGGAGCTGGTTGATCAATTTTTGCATTTTTTCAGCCTCCTTTTTTTTTGTCTCAATGGTTGAGAACACCTATTTACTTGCATTTTTCAACTCCGAAATTTAGAATATTCATTCGCTTTTGTTTTGATGAATTGTTTCTTTGGTGTTGTCATAAGGGGTTTAAAATCTAAGGAATTCTCATTTAAATTGTGCTGATTTTGATGACGATGGTCATCTTCTCTTCAGGCACCTTAATTAGTTCTGGTGATTAAGTTTCAGATCGGGGATTTGATATGTTCATGTAACTTAAGGATTGTCTTCACACTACTTTCTGTATCAATGGGCATACAGAAGATTTGCCATCGGAGTTCAAGTTCTGATAAAGTTTCTTGTGTCTTCAATGGTGAAGTTAAGCTCATGAGAGATAACACAGTCCTGGGAGCAGACTCAGGGAATGATTCAGATGATTGTGAACTTGCTGAATTGAACTGTGAGCTTGGCATGGTGGAAGGCCAGTGGTGCTGCATACCTTATGAGCTCTATGATCTTCCAGATTTGAGGGAAATATTATCTCTAGACACATGGAATTTGTGTTTAACAGAGGAAGAAAGGTTCCATCTGTCAGCTTACCTTCCAGACATGGACCAAGAGACGTTTTGCTTGACTATGAAGGAACTTTTTGATGGTAGTGAAATATATTTTGGGAATCCTTTGGATAAATTCTTCAAAAAATTGAAAGCTGGATTCTACCCTCCAAAGGTGGCTTGCTTCAGGGAAGGCTTGCAGTTTTTACAAAGGAAGCAATATTATCATTCGCTTAGAGCTTACCATGACAGGATGATACAAAAGTTTTTAGACATGAGAAGGTTATGGAAAAATAGGAGAAAACAAAAGAGCATCAACATGCTTGATCTAAATGAATCTCCTGATGACAATCATCTGTTAAGTGAGAAGGTTAACTTGGAATTGAAGGCAACGAAGCTAGTGGAGAGTGAGAATTCAGCAAAGGACAGGCCACCCTTTCTGTCTGCCAACAGGCCAAAATTTGCAGCTCCATACTGCAGACCAAAGGGGGTTCTAAAGATGAAGGCTTACGGCAATGATTCATTCCATAATTACAATTCAAAGATGGCTGTGGCTGATTTCTCTGAACACTATCGATCATTGCCCAAAGGACTGTTGAAAATAGCACCTAAAATTCCTTCAGTTCACCTGGAACAATCAGACATTGTGCCAACAGGAGAGCAATCAAACTTTCCTTCTGGGACTCATGGCATACGGGATTTTAAGTTTTCTCCTATACCAGCTTCTCTATGCTTTCAGCATGCAGGTAGCCTGCATGAATATCCATTTCTAAGGCAAAAGGCTGATGGTAGCAGAGTTTATTCTCCTCTGGACCAACCTCATTTTCTAATGGATCCACAGGAAAGTGTTAGAGTAACAAGTAATCACCCAGAAAGCTCTACAAGAAAAGTGAAACTGGAAACATCTTCATCTTTAGATGACAATTCTGTTTTAGGAAAACACAAATTGTTTGGAGTTGATATGGGAAGGTTTCTGAATAAGGAATGCAAGTCATCCTTGGATACAGTGGGTGCAATGCCGTATGCCTTTGGTAGTGAAAATCCGAGGGCAAATGTGGGCAGAGAATTTAATGGCTCTTCCCTGAGATCCTTGGAATCATTCCCATTTCGTATCCAAAATCAGGGAGGGGAGCAGCACATGACACCCTTAAAAGAAGAGCATCTCACTATCCATCCAAGAATTCCAGAAGTGGTTCCCACAATTTCAGATGTTGGCAATGGTAAGCAAGAAACGTTAATGGGTTCTTCACACCAAAAGAATGGTGAGAGTGAGGTCAGCATCAGAAAATCGGAGAAGTTATCGAGTAAATCCGGTGTCTCGGAGGCATTTAAGGATAAAAAGTTACTGCCATTGACGTACAAGCGAAGGAAAGTTGTAACTAAGGCCAACTCATTAAACTTTGGCAAGTCACTAACAGCAGCTGCTGATTTGAAGTCTGCAATTCCAAAAGAATCAAATCAAGATTTTAGGGAAGGTGTGAAAACTGTGAAGATAAAATTAACGGGATTGAAAGATATGCCCTTGGACAAGGAACCTGAAACAACACTTCATGTACTAAAGTAGGTACTTCCTAGTAATATCAATTTTCTTTGTGGTTTCCACAAAATTACTCTGTAGTATATGCTTTCTAAGATGTGTAAATCGAAGTATAGTGAAAAAGAAAAGTTCCCATCTTCGTGATAATCCCATTGCGAACTTATATTCTACCACGGAGCTTACCAGAAGCATTTGCATGCACATGTAGATGTAAATATTTTCTTGTTGACTTGTCAAGTTACAGCACTGAAGTCAAGCATATCGTCATATCAAAATTAACATTTTTTAAATGTGATAACTTTTGAGCTCTGCATTGAAAATTAACTATTCATTTCTGCTGGCTCAGTGTTTAGCCCAGAATTAGAGAGGCATGCAGCTAGACTCTGCCTGAACCTGGTTGTTTGGTGACCGGCTCTCGGCGGGAAGAAAAGATCACGGAAGTCATCTGACACTTAAAATCACAATTAACTCCTAAGTAATGAGTTAGTGATCACGCAGCTGCCCTGTCATGGATGGCCATCCTAATAATCAATCGGATTTGAAAAACGAAAGGAACAATTCATTCAAGAACTGATGCTATGGTCTGACAATTAGAACGGCAGTACAGCTAAATTAAAAAAGGAGAAGAAAGAGAAAACCCAGAGTTTATTGCCATTAAAATGACTTGTATTTTAAACGTTATGAGCTACTGCTTTTCCATTACTCCAAATGAATATCTCGCCTTCTACAAGATGACTAACCAAAAAGCAGGCTACAATTTCCCCCAACTTTTATTAGTGTAAACATGATATCTGTTCTCGGCGGAGGAAAATAATCTACTTCTGTTGTACAAAGGGAATTGGGATGCATCAATACTCGGTAATGTTTTAAGAATGGTTGGCTCTTCTATTCACATCAAACCGCGGCAATTCATTTGCTGACCCGAACCAAAAATATCTGCATTTCAGACCAATGACCTCAGTTATCTTCTCCGATTTCTAACTTTTAAAGTAAGCACACTGCTAATTCATTCCTTTTCAAGTAAGCACATTGCTAATTCATTCGTCATCTCACTCATGTCCATTAACTTGGTTCTCCTCATTGCCTCCTTCATCCCCTCTACCCCCATAATTAACCCATGGCAACATGGATTCAAACAAGACAGCCAATGCATTGCGATTCGCAACATCCCGTGGAGCAGGGCCACCATCAAGTGGGTGGGCAATTTGTCCCCCATTTCGCTCAGGCTCCCTCATCCTTGGATCAACCATGAAGTTTTGCAAGTTCTCAGGTGGAAGTGTTGGAACTGTATCAGAAAAGTCTGAAACCAGCAAATGGCCGTACCTATAAAGAGAGAGAAATGTCAACTCAAACATGCATGATAAACATGATACCAATAGTTGAATAAACCTGGATGCAACGGATCTATCACATTCTGCAGACCCCTAAATTGACACTCAACCAGAAAATTGATTCCGTCATCCAAGGGACATGAGTTTTAATAACAATATATACCATCATTGCTTGTGACAAAACAACAATTAACAACAACAATAATTAACAGATACAAATAGGTGGTTGGAGCAGAATAGAGGAACTGAGTCCATAATTCAAAACACTTACTCATTTTTCTCAGACGAAAAGGCCTCTTTTCTCACACAAGCCCAATCCTTGGCATCACTGGTACTATGTTCTAGAGTTTCGATCACTTGTAGAGCACTGACACGAAGCAATTTTTGCAAGTCTGGAAGCCTCCATATGATATAACTTTTCTCTACATATATGTTAATCAGATGATCCAAGGATGCAGACCCTGTTTTCTCTGATCGAAAAAACACATGCTTTATTATATTTGTCCATGCCTGATCTTTCAAAGGTACCTTGGCCACTAACTTTTTAAGGACTGACGGGTGAAGCATTAAAGCCTGCTTCATCAAATCAGCTGAGTTAGACTTTGTAGCACAAGTATTGGCATCTTTTGAGGGTTCCTCTCGCTCAAGATAAAACCGGCAAATGGCAAGAGAGTATGAGAAATTTGGAAACAGCCATAAGGAGTTATCACTTTTATAGTCTTCAGAAAACCATTCCAACCATGCATACTCCTCAGCCCTCAAAGCAAAGTAATCAACACAGAACATGGCCCCCATTGGATCATCTAAATCCAATGAAAGCAACAGTTTGCAAACCTCAAGAGCAGAACGATGACATCCACGTCTGTCCAAGTTTTTCATGTGAGTGAAAAGTGTTGTAAACAGTGGCTTGTTCGTTTCATGGCAGATCTTCAACTGGCAATTTGCCTGCAAGGGGGAGAATGTGGGATGCCATGCACATTCCAAGGCATATAAACTCTTCGCAATAGAATCGGCTGACATTTGATTCTCACCCACAAATTTAAAATAGTCTGCCATTGTTACAAGTGAATCCAAGTGATAAGGGTGGTATAACAGAATGCTTGCTATGCCATTCAGATCATGAATAGCCTTGGCAGCTTCAAATGTCCTCTGCGCTTGATCAGAGGAAGATGAGTGAACATACCTGTGTCAATAAAACAATACAGAATCAGGACATGCAGGAGCAATGAAAATAAATATATTAGAATTTTTTACATGTGAACTAAACCATCAATAACTTCAATGATAGGCAGAGGTGCAATATTTCCTAAAAAACATGAGAAAAATGGTTGCAATCCATGTAAATGACAAATACATAGAAAAAAACCATATTCAGTAGCCCATATAGAAAATGAACACATCTAATGCAGAAGTAAGATGCTTTACACAGATTTCAGAATAAGTTCACAAACACAAATGATAATGCTCTGTCCGCAGCCAGACTGCAAAAGAAAAAACGCTAGGGCTGCTTGCAACTAGACTGTTGGTTAAAGTGTCTTAGAGATCACTGTACCTTTTCAAAGTCTGATCATGTGGGTTAAACTTTAAAGACATAATATCATCACTTCATCCCCCACTATGATCACTCCCCAGCCCAATAAAGAAAAAAATCCTAGCAATACACCAAAAGCATGTTTCTTGATAACCAAGATAAACCCATGACTAAAAATGAAAATTCCCAAAGTGAATGCTACCATTCACAAGAAAGTGTCCCCTAAAGGCAAACAAGAATAAAGAATATACATTCAGTAAGAGAGAATGAAGAAACTATCAGTAATGATTGGACATTATAGTATCGACAGATGCATAATCTGGGAAATATAGAAGTAAAGGAAGGACATTCTTCACCTAAAATGGTGGTATCCATCCTTAGTTTCCAAAAACTCCATGGATAAAGATCCATCCCACCGAGGCCAATGTTCTGATGGAGAGACTAAAATAGTCCTTCTAATATGATGGGCTCCACGTCTGCCCCCAATAACCTGTCTAGAACTGCTGGCTTGATTACTTTTCTCAAATGATTTCACCACCTTAGAACCAAAAATTCTCCTTAGCTCGTTCTCAGGATTCAAACATTTCAGATCCACTTGTAAGGCGGAAGGTGCACACTGTTTCACAAATTCTGCACGAAGTTTGGAAGTTTCTGGTTTGGTTTCGGAAGGGCAAGGTTGATGTCTTGAAGAATTAACATCCAAGGATAAAGTATCTAACATGTCCTCAAAAGGTTCTTTGACTTTATTTGTAACTGAAGACAAACCAGTTTTGCTTTTCTTTTTCTTCTTTTTCTTTGATTTCTGATTGGATGTTGAAATGGCACCAACCATGCTTTTCATCCCAGACAATTCTTGTTTGTGATTGTTTCCCACTACCATTTCATCATCAATTTCTGGCTCATTCTCCTGCAGCTGAAATCAAACATTAGCAACTGAAAGTAAATGGAAAGTAGATATTGCACCCTTTCCTTTCACAACCACCAGTAATCCTTGAGAACAAATGTAAAACGAGGAACAAAAATTTCACAAACAACTCTCCCAGATAAACTAGCAAATACACTGTTAGCATATCTTCCCAAAGTCAAATGTCCTTCAAGATTTCACATGAATGCATCGATATGCTTGATATTTAACCAAGTCTTCACACTCCAGAGCAATTTGGCCAGTGTACAAAAGTACAAGATGGGGAGTGTAAGATATCAGATAAAAAGATCAGTAAAAAAATACTGTAAATGATGCTATAAAAGCTGAACCAAGTGCTTAAGAAGACTGTAATAGTCCTTCATAAGCAGGCAAAAATACATAACCACAGGAAACCGCATGAAAGCTGAACCGAATGTAAAGAATGCTACAGAACTGAACTGATTGTTGTGGATTCTATGAAAACTGGATTGGATGTAAAGGATACCATGCAAACTAAACATATTGCAAAAGAAATGGGTCAACTGCATTGGACTTTCTGTAATGAAAAGGCATGAGCATCTTTTTTCAGTCTCAGTTTTTCTGCTAGCTACAAGGCTCATGGTTTATCAAAACATAGTGCCTCTGCGTGTTGCCCTACTACAGTTTATGCTTTAAAATCTCAAAAGAGACTCAATTTCATAAGAGATTAATCACAATTTTACAAAGGGGCAGGTTTTACACAACAATACATCATAGGAAGGTATTGGAAGCCCACGTTGAAACTTAAAAGGGAAAAATACATACATAAACAATAGGCAACATATATACTGGGCCACTTTTCCAAACACTGAATACCCATTATTAAGACATCATTAACAACATAAAAACAAGGATATAAACAACAAAGCAATAAAGATAGGCATGAAGCAATAGGTAACTTTCTAGTTTTGATCAGTTAAAATTGTTGTACAATAGCCGCTAGGATTGGTGAATAAAACCTGATCAACGTCATCATCATTGAGAAGGTCAAATAGGTTTATTGCAGGGCGAGTTCCCGGATAAGGAGATTCACCTTCTTCCTCCTCAGACTCATCATGATGCTGTTGCCGTTGTAGTTCTTGTTCTTTCAGGACTTTCTTCAACAACCTAACTGACATTCTGTCCAACTTTTTTTGCTTCTGAAAAATATCAGAGAATCTGATTGGATTTCCTGTGTTTCGGACCTGAAAGAACAATCTCCTGGAAGACAATAGGGATTGGGATTGTTCTCTTCCTCCTTGAGGCGTAATAATGGCGGTGGAGACGACAATACTGCTCGATTAGGAGTCTCTGGATCCTTGCCTAAAAATGGTCCGTTGGTTTTAGGCCTCAGCCCCAAGCATCTTCTCTTGTTCTATTTGGGCTCAGCATGGACCTGGACTATTCTTTTTCTTCACTTATTAGTATTTCGTAGACTCGCAGCATTAAGCCCAAAGTTGAGAAGCACTGAGAAAAAATATAATTAGTTTGAAATTGAAATAATAAATAACGATCATATCCATATAATTACCATAAACCCAGTGTTTGTATATATATATATATATATATATATAATTCCTAATGAAAATTACTTATTAGGCTTGGTTTTAGTGTGTGGAATAGGACATATGATTTCCCCCTCATTTTATGAGCATCAAGCCTCCCTTTAGCATTTCTTTTTAATAATAAAAATTTATTGAACTATTAATATTCTGCAATGCAAGTTTTATAATGTTGCAATATTACGAGAGTATATGTATCACATGAAGATATTAATTATTCATATATGATTAAAAAAATCACCGCACACAATTGATAAATGTTATGATTTTTATTTCATAATTATATCCAGGATGAAAATAAAATTGTATTTCATTTTCTTTTTTAAATGTATATTATAACGAAGATTGGGATGTTAAAATATATATTTATTTCATTATAATAGAGTTAAATATCGTATTTAGCTTCTACTGATAGTCTGATAAACAAGCAATACAATGCACGTGCCAGGAATTTTTTTTTTAATGAAAATTAGAGGATTATAACTGAATTTTGATAAATCATTTTTCCTTGAAACAATTTTCCTTTTTCTATGTAAAAAAAAAAGAATTAGAGAGACTTTGCATTGCATGGAATAGGTGCGTCATGTTTTAGGGCGGTGGATCGCATACCTTGAGTCCAACATAAACCCAAAAAATAAAAAAGGAAAAAGAAAAGGCTTCGCCTTGATAAGGTAATCAATCCATTACACTGCACCATATACAGAGCAAAGGCAAAACCCAATCCCCATCAAGTCTTTCTTTCTTTCCCTTCTCTCCCGCCTCTGCGCAGTTTAGCGACGCTATCAAGAGGTCAGTAGCCATCATACTCTCTCACTCTCTCTAATTCATTTGTTTTGACTTGCATTGCTTTCTTTTTATTATTAATCTCTAGGGTTTAGGGTTTATTCCACAAATTTGTTTCCTTTTTGTGTTCCTTAGCTGTTAGCGTTGAGAATAATTTCATCTTTTAATCGGGTTGTTGTGCTTCGTTTGTAGGCATCAATGGGGTCTATACTCCGTGACTGGCAAGGGTTCCACCAATTCCCTGCTGCCACACAGTCCAAACTTGTTGAATTGTTTGCCAAATTAAAGGAAGAGGTTCCATTTTTCAGTCTTTTAATACAAATTATTTGTTCAACTTCTTCATTAATTGTTTCAGTTTTCATAATTATTTATTGTCTTGGACTATATGTTTTTGCAGGGTGTTAATAAAATGACCATACTTGTTATGGGCAAAGGTGGAGTTGGGAAGTCCTCCACTGTCAATTCTCTTCTCGGAGAGCGAGTGGTCAATGTGAGCTCCTTCCAGGTAGCCAATTGCCTGTGATTTTGGCAGCTAGTGGTCTTTGCATGCTCTATATATTTGTATATCTTTGATAATAACAATGCTGGTGTTACAGTCAGAGGGATTCAGACCAGTCATGGTCTCACGTGACCGGGCTGGATTCACGTTGAACATCATTGACACCCCAGGCCTTGTGGAAGGTGGTTATGTCAACTACCAAGCTCTGGAGTTGATTAAACGGTTAGTATTACTAGAATCTTTTGTTTTGAGCTCACTTGGATTCCTACCAAATTATTACTTCTGTTGTCCCTTTTTTTTAACATTCCTGGATTAAAGATGTGGTGACCGTACATTGATTTCACTTTGGGTGTTGATGTGTCTGCTTATGTAGGTTCCTATTGAATAAGACTATAAATGTTTTGCTCTATGTTGATCGCTTGGATGCATATAGAGTGGATGACTTGGATAAGCAGATTATTAGTGCTATAACTGATAGTTTTGGAAAAGAAATATGGAACAAAAGTTTGCTTGTCCTCACTCATGCTCAGCTTTGCCCACCAGACGATCTCATTTATGATGTCTTTTGTGGTCGAAGATCAGAGGCTGTTTTGAAGACTATTCGGATGGGAGCACAGATTAGGAAACGAGATTTTGAGGTGCATGTTTTTCTTAATATGTCTATAAACTGACTTCTCTTGTTTTTGTTCTTTCTTTTCTTTTTGTTTTTTTAAATTTAGTGAGCAACAGCTTCTCATTGGCACTCCAGATATGCAACAATATGCTGACTTGTTTCCAACTGATAAGTGCATAATTTGCTGCATATCCATGTTGATAATCTGTTGCAAACTGCAACAAGCGGAGTGAGCTGTTTTTTTTTTCCATACACTATTTCTCCTAAAATAAATACATACCCTCTCCTGGAGACTCATATGCATGTATTCATGAGTGCGCATTAGACCATCTTACGCGAATGATCAATGCTATAGATGGAGCCACCATTTCATTTTCTTTGGCTGTCATTTTTTTTCAACATGGAAAAAAAAAAGGACATGCAATGTGATTAATTACTTAGCTGCTGAGTAAGTGGGAGATCTTATAACCTTCTAAGAAACTTTAGGTTCGTGATGCCATGGTTCAAGAGATTTCTACTTGCATTTGTTAGAAAATTAATGGAGAATCATACCTTCATTTTTCTATCCACTAAGATACTAAAAACTTATACCATTTGCAACTTTCTCTAGTTCAAATGTACATGTTTGGTTGTGGATAAATGCAAAGGAATGCTAAAGTTGGAGATTTGTTGTTTTGCTTCAGCCAATTCATTCTTTTTTATGCATTGCCAATTATTTACTGCTTCTAGCAACATGCACATCCACAAATGTGGTTTAGATACTTTAAATGAACAGTTATTATCAAAGGAATAAACAAAATATTAAAATAATCTTGAGGTTATTGAGTATGTTTTCAAAGTATCTTCCATTTTCAATTCTCATTAATATCGAACACATGAATTGTTTAGAAAATAATTTCAAGTTCTTTTTCCTCAACTATGACATCCATGTTCATTCTGGATGATGAGGATTATCATGGTAGGTGAAGTTGGTACATATTTCAGAGGACTGGATGGGGCTTTAGAGAAAGGAGGCTGTTAAATATTGATGCTAGTGCTCTTGATTGTGATGTTAAAGGAAAGGAGATGATATCTTTATCTTAAGCAGTAATCAACCTTAGTTCCTGTTGACAAAATTCGCAAGTGACTACATCTAAGTGGTTTCTTGATATGATTTAGCAAGAACACTTCTACTTCTTCTGGGGGAAGATAGAATCCGGGAAGCTAGAGCATTGGGGATATAGGCTTCCTAAGTAAGGATGATTACTAATAATTTCTCATATGTGATTACTTGGATGTTGTAGAATGTCTTATGCTGGTATACAAGGCGAGTTAATTCGGTAGCTTGAGGAAATCATGGGGAGTTCAAAATAAATTTTATATGGTGCTTTAAAAGCAAAGGAAGAGGTGAGGTTCCTAGGGAAATTGAGAATCTCAGATGAATACCAAGTTCACGACTAGTGGGAAGGAGAGTGGCATGATGGTGGCTTATGTAATGCAGTTAATTTAGCCCTTTCCCCCTTTGTTTCTGTATTGTCACTGTGGAAGTCAGTTGGAGCTCTTTGCCTTGACCACTAGAAAAAGGTAAAGCACGATAGTGCAGTCTGGGAGCACTTGCCAATCATCCCAATTTCTTGTATCCCTTTGAGCCAGATATGCCATGACTACCTGTTCCCTTTTATGCACAAAGCGATTCTCGACTTTCTTTCTTTCATTTTTACTCTGTCCAGATTTGTCTTCTTTAATTTCATCCCAATTGTCTATGGAGTTCCACTGCATCCTTCAAAAGCAATGCTTTAAAAATATTATCATGAGATATCCTGAGGGTGAAAAGTTTTTCCTTTTATTGCTTTGCATAGCTTTATCTGTTGAATTGTCAAAATATTTTCGAGTTTGAAACTTGGCATTTCAGAAGTTACAGTGGAGTTTGGGCAAATATTAAAGATTTGTGTTGGAAAGGAAAATTTTGATTCTGTATGATATTACTTCAAGAAAAAAAATACTTTTCTGTTTAGAAAATTAGATGCGCTGTTATTATCAGTGGGAAGGAAGACTTTGCCTTTTCAAATAATTTCCTCATCCTGGATCTGAAGTTTGTAAATGAAGATCATTTATGATGTCTGTAAGGAAAGGTCATGCTACTCAAGCTATAAAGTGTGCTTGAAATAGTGTGATGTTTTATGATCTCTATTTCAGAGTTCTGTGAATTGATTGGAAATTTCTTACTTCAAAAAATGTATTCTCCAGTGTTGGATGCATGAGATTGAGATATGCATATTTGGTGTCTAAGCAGCTAATTAACCTGGAAGTTGGAGAGGGTCTTACAGAAACTAAACTAATTTTGTGGTTCATGAGTGAACGGGATTCTTCATGGGATGAGAATAATGCCCTGGATTCATATTTGGAAATCTACTAGAGTGATGAAAATGCAGAACCATCTTCAACCTTTTTATTTCTTTTTCGAATTATCTTTGCTATAGTTTTGAGGAGGCGTTAGTAGAAACTAAATTAGCTCTTCAGTTCTTCATGGGATAATCAAAAAATGTATTTTCCAGTGTTGGATGCATGAGATTGAGGTATGCTCATTTGGTGTCTAAGCAGCTAATTAACTTGGAAGTTGGAGAGGGTATTACAGAAACCATACTAATTTTGTGGTTCATTATGCTTCATGGGATGAGAATGATGCCCTGGATTCATATTTGGAAATCGACTATAGTGAATGAAAATGCAGAACCACCATCTGCAACTTTTTTCTTTCTTTTTGAGAATTATCTTTGCTATAGTTTTGAGGAGGCGTTAATAGAAACTAAATTAGCTTTCCAGTTCTTTATGGGATATTGGTGTCTTGTAATTGTATTTAAAGATTGTATACAAAGATGTAAAATGCACATCCATCTCTATGGTATCTGTGAACAGGGAAGATAAATAATTTTTTTTGTTCTTAAATAATTTTTTTTGTTCTTAGTGTTCTGTTTATGTAATGAATCATTTGCTTGCTTTTGATGTGTCTAGGACTCTGCTATTCCAGTTGGTTTGGTTGAAAACAGTGGGAGATGCAACAAAAATGAGAATGATGAAAAGGTTTACCCTTTATGCTCTGAATTTTTGATAATTTATTCATTCATTTAAAAGGTTTGTTGAAATTCCTTATAATTTTGAGTTGCAGATTCTCCCAAATGGGGATGCTTGGATTCCGAGCTTGGTAAAAGAGATTGTTGGGGTTGCAACAAATGGGAAGAAATCTCTTTTAGTTGACGAGAAGTTGGTTAATGGATCCGAGTCAAATGACAGGGGAAAGATATTTATTCCTCTTATCTTGGGAGTCCAGGTAAAAATTTACCTAAATCAAGTATTCTATTTGTGGTAGAACTGGAGCATATGATCAATGTTATTCATTGCTGTTTTTTCATCTTGCAGTGGCTTCTTGTGAAATGGATTCAACGAGAAATAAAAAAAGATATTGTGAAAGGGGGCAAGTATATTTGAGTACTGTTAGGTTGCCCTCAAGTCAGGTGCAAGATCTTTTGTGGCTCTTTAATGGCCTCTTCTTCCTTCTTTCTCCACCTTGTTCTATTCATTTCCTTTTTATGTCCTTGCATCTTCACTATTTCTGAATATCTAGTCAATCTGTACCTGTGTGTTTGTGTTGTGCGTTCATTTTTTAGGGACAGAACATGAGTGAAAGGAGGCTTTTGCTCTTTAATTAAGTGTCTTCTTTTCCAGTTTTATGTATTTTTTCCCGCATTTTTTATTTGAATTTCATTCATGAATTTTTCCATTTAATTTGGTTCTTTTTAGTACTTAAAAATTTCCCTCTATCCTTTACACGCTTAGATGATAAAGTTTACCTGTGAGAGAGGTATTCGGGTGCCCTTTCTTTGCAAGTGGAGGTACCGAAGTTATTGCGCATCAGTTATATATCTTTCTTTATCTTTTGCTCATTTTGATTCCTTGCGGCGATGGTGCGGTGAGCACAAATGGGTTAGCATGGTCTCGGATGCTACTCTCTACCAACCTCTACATGCTAGGAGAGTCCGATTTCGCCGACCTATGCAGGGCTAAGACTAAAACTACCTCTTTAAATGTGGTCCCTGCAGTTTGCTTTAAGTTCTATTAAAATGTTTTTAGCAATTTCTACTGGGTGTGACGTTGTGATTATGTTTATTTCACTCCCGGCGTGTCAACCAGCAGTTAAAGCTGTTTGCCATCTTTCTGCGGAGATTGCGGGTATTTGCAAGAACTGATGGATGGAGGCGGAACCAAAGGATCGGAAGTGGGGGACCAGAGCAGGGAAGGTTTTTATGCAATGGATGCCATCATTAAAGCATACCACCATAGCCTGTAAACATCATTAAAGACATCACAATCATAGTAAACATCTCATAATTATATATATTATGTTTCTCATGAATTTGCATTGCACGCCTCGCAATCATTGCTGGCTTCTTAATCGGTCAAAAACGAGTCAAAATATACACTCCCGGTCACCTTTTTGGATTCTCACCATTGCTGAAGGTCTGATTATGTTGCAGTTTTTCGGTGTGCTTGATGCCCCTTGGCAATCGGTGATTTGGTGTCAAGCGTGCTGGAAGGGCGACAGGCGCAGTTGTCTTGTGGTTGGATTAGCTGGGACTTTTATCATGTTACGGTTCATGGGTAATGCCAGGCATGCAATCGACAGTCTGCACCATTACATGATCCATTAAATCAGATCCTCTCCTAAAAAGATGAGCAACTCTTGCCCTGTGTTTGACATGGGAACAAGTCCAAAATGTCTACTGTCCTAACCTCATACTGAAGTGGTTATTTCAAAGGATAAATGGGCAATTTTAATAGTAAACAACAGATGGCAATCTTTTTTTATTCTCTTTGTTCACCAAAATGGCTGTAGAATTTACACAATCTTTACCACGAGGTCCATTCCAACCTCCAAGGGTCCCAATTCCCGGATAAAATATTGAAAGGCGCTCCCATTAGGTCCTTCATCGGAGATGGCCAGCCAATTTTATAATGTGGAACCACCTTTTCTTACCCCTTATGACAAATTAGCGGCTTTAACTCCCAACTTAAATTAAGTTTATCATTAAAAACTTGCATCACTTTTATGCTGAAAAATTAGGCCAAAGTCGGAACCCAGATAGGAATGGTAATGGAGTATCCACGTACTGAGTTTCTCTCATATCCTTGCATATTTCATTAGGTTATGGGGTTTTGGATATGCATGTATATATGTCATCTAGATATTACTTGTTACTTATTTTAAAATAAAATAATAATTTATATACTTGAAGTGTGTGTGTATATATCAAATTAATTTTGAATCAGATTTAATATTTATAATATATTCATATATAAACATCCACTTCAATTAATTCGAATCGATATAGATTAAATTATGATGAAAATGTCATTAGTGTTAACAAAAATTCTAACTAATAACTAAAATATTATTTGGGAGTGTGGATTGTATTTTTTAAAATTTTTAATTTTTTTTAAAAGACTTCAAATTAATGTTTATTATTATTATTATTATTATTATTATTATTATGTGTTAATAACAAATATAAATAAAATTATTTCAAAATATTTTAAAATAAAAATATTTTAAAAAAGCATTTATAGAACTATCTTAAACACGATACAAATTCTCATCGTAATATGCATCCAATTGGCAACAGGCATTTAACAGAAGCTAGGGCATAATCATGATTAACAGCCACCAGTGCTTGATTGAGTGTGGGAAACCACAGCCACCACCATGCATAAAAGAGAATCAAATCTGGTATCATAAATAGAAATAGTAATCTAAAAAACACCATGCCATGCTAGCTAGCTAGCACACTTTTCCTCCTGGAACCTTTCGGAACAATTAGCTATAAATTTAGGCCTCCTGTGTTGCATAGGTAGGTATCCAGAGCAGAGCATAAAACACATCATGGGCACTGCTAGTAATTTGAAGCACGCAGCTGTTTCTTTCTTGGTTCCACTTCCTTCAATTCTCTTCTATCTCTACTTCATTAACCATTACAAAACAAGCACCGTAGATGGCACTACACTCTCTCCTTTCTGGTCATGGTGCGTCGACCACCCTCTTCTATTGGTCAACGCCCTCTTCTTCTTCAATGTCAATGTTCTCTTCTGGATCATTAGTCAAATCCAAAAGAGCCACTGGGTATGCTACTGTATTATTAGTTTTACATTTTCCAATCAAGTTTTGTTTCCTTCTGTTTTCTTGGATTCGTTTATTGAATTTTGTTTTGTGGGTGCTGCAGATGATAGATTTGTATTGGACTGTGATACCAATGTTGCTCGTTTATTACTATGCAACATACCCTTTGGCCCAATACAACTTGTGGAGGTCGAGAATTGTGATAGCATTGACATGGATTTGGAGTTTGAGACTTACTCACAACTACTTTAGGCGGGAAAAGTGGCAATGGGGTGTCAGAGAGGATTGGAGGTTCACTGATATGCGTGAACAGTATGGCAAGCATTGGTGGTGGATTTCCTTCTTTTCTGTCTATGCTTCTCAGCAGGTAATGTATGATTGTATCTTTGCTTATTTGTATTGATAATTTGGTTCTTAATTGAGGATAATTGACTGATCTGGATTTGGTTAAAACTGCTTGACGAATTGCCACAATGAGATTTTACTTGCTGGAAGCTTTTCAAAGTATTTTGGCTTTACTTGTTATGTTGATGTCTTGTTGTTTAGTCTGCCATGAATTGTTGCAGAAAGTTGAAATTTCTCAGCCACAAGCTCTTTAATGGCGATTCTTTTCTTATTTGGTGATCTCTAATATTGCAGATGTTTCTGGTTGGTATATGTCTCCCATTCTATATTGTTCACTCAGTTGATAAGCCATTGGATGTCTGGGATTTTGTTGCTGTCGCTGTATGCTTGTGTGGAATTGTGATTGCATACTTTGCTGATACGCAACTTCATGAATTTGTGACAAGAAACGAAAAATTAAAAGAGCTTGGAAAACCAACGGTGCCAAATCTTGATAGGGGCTTGTGGGGTTACTCACGGCATCCAAATTATTTTGGGGAGCAGCTGTGGTGGTGGGGACTGGTGATATTTGCATGGAACCTGGGACATGGATGGGCTTTCGCTGGGGCCTTTGTTAATAGTATGTGCTTGGCATATGTTACTGTGCTTGTAGAACAGCGGATGCTGAAACAGGAGTACAGAGCTGAAGCATACAGGCTTTATCAGAAGACAACTTCAGTGTGGATCCCTTGGTTCAGGTCATCTGCTTTTGCTAGAAAAGATAAGGACACTTGAACTGATACAAGTCCCAGTGCCCAGCTTCTGTAGTTCTTTATAATCTGTTGTTCTTCAGTAATTGTTCATGTTCTCTGTTGTTGATTTCAAATTGTCTGTGTGTAGCTAATAGATCACTGTATGGAAATGTATAAATTATCGTTGCATTTTCTTTGAAGTTCGCCATGTTATCTGAAATTTTGAGCGTATGCTGAATGTTGAGTTCTGGATTTCCCATGCTACCCGTTTTGTCATTATGTTCCTTCTCGCAAAAAATTGAACACAGTAGTTTGTTGTATGACGTGAATGGTGAAGCAAAATTTGGCTGCAATGCCATTGCAGCTCTTAAATGTATTGGGCAGAAATCTAGCTTTATTACAGTGGTGTCTCAACTGAAAATGAATACTGGGCTGCTCAGAATTTTTTTCCTCCCGAGGGCTGTGTTGGTGCAGAACACCTTCGCCACCGTCACATCTGAGCTGTTAAGTTTGTTAACAATGTCTCAAGTGTCTACTGTCTTAACTTATGTTGGATGTTCTTCTAGCGTCATTGTGAAGCTTGGCCATTAGGTGCTTTTGGTTCTTCCGTTAAGTTATGAAACACATTGTATCAAAAATAATAAGAGTAAGCGGATACTCTCTATAGAGCCGTTAAGGAGAATGCCATTGCTTGCCAGTATGCACAAGCATTCCTCATGAGAGGGAAGAAGAAGAAACTAGAGCTAACATGAATGTCATATTGTTAGCTCCCTGTGCAAGTTTTTTCCTGGTCTTTAGCCCGGTCAGAAGAGCTGCTTGCTCCTCAACATACCCCAATGAAGCCACTAGCACTATTCCTACAACCAGAAATACCAAGCAGCTCTTTCATTAGCATTCCATAAAAATCTTTCTGCTTCTAGCTTAGGGGGCTATCCTTAAAGATCATACGTTAGGAACCAGCAAAGTTTCTGGATGATTTCTGTGGATGTGGTTTTGTAGGTCATGTATTAAACATTAGAAGAGTTCCTGATTTTACAACAGGAGATGGTTTAACCTTTGAATCCTGGGACGTAGGGATTCTGCTACAATGAACTTCGTATAGGATTAACAGAAAGGTGATAATTGCATACCATTTTAGTTGATAGGATAAAAAGCTGTATTCCATGAACCTGTCAACAAGAGGAGGAGTGGATGTCTCACTCAGCAGACATTAAATTTAGGGTTTCCAAAGAAATTATGATATAGAATAGAAGGCCAGATAAATTTTGAAACTATGACAATGAACAGATCACATCGTATGTAAAAGGGAATGTTTTATAGATCAACTCATGAATTTGTTTCAGTGGACTGGAATTGTGTTATATTGGAACCCATAGGGGTTAGATGATTCAGAAAGCTTGCTGGTGCTTAACCTTATCAATTGTGAGCTCATCACTGCTGGTTCCGACAATTTGATGGAAGAATGGCTGAACAGAAGTAGATGGCTTCAAGTTGAGATATAACGAGTTTTGGATCCATTAGAAGGTATGGATCAGGTATTGTCATTTACGAACAGGTTATTGCTCTTGGCCTATATATTCTATATATTCTGTTTTTTTAAGGATTACATGTTGAAATATTGTCATTTACTTCTAGAGCTTTCATGATTTTTTTTGTTGCTTTATTCTAACATGCCATTACTCGTGGAGAGTAGCTTTCAGACTTCTTAAACAAGGTGCTGTTGCTCTAAGTGTAGTCTGTTCGGTACTGTGTGAGACTCGCATTATTATGGCGACATATACTGGTACCAGGTGTGGCCTGAGTTTGAATGCTTTGTGAGAAGATGATGAAGCGCTTGAGCCGTGTCAAACCTTGCAAAAATTGTGGTCCCCTCAATTAAAACTCGTGAACCTACCACGTACATTTTGAGCCAGTGAACCTATCATGTACCTCATTAATAAAACTAACATGCAGCATCGGAACACAACAGGGCAGAGGTTTGGATGGCGATGGTCCTGATGGATGAATCTCTATAATGCTGTAACGCGAGGATGGGTGATGGACAACGAGCACAATTTTGAACCTGGGTATTGCTTCACGGTGTGCTGAGTCCCTTTGAAGATTAGATTTCTATATCGAAACTGACAGGATTGTGGTTCTTCAATAGTAATGGCGGTCATCCTTCCAATGAGATATCGTATCCTTGTACATTTTATGGCATAAAAAAGTATTGCTGCAGGAGCAAAGAAATGCTATACGATGTCTTGGGGTAGAAATCCCCATGCTATCTTATCCGCCCATGAAACTTCGGGGCTAAATCATACCAAACCATAAGACATTCGACCTCCAGCCCTAGCCAACCAGCTATCTGCTTCCTCTTAAATGTTCTTGAGCGCGACATTCAATTGTGCATTGCAGACACTTGATTTTATAAAGGGAGATATCAAACATTACTTTGCTGTTTTTCCTCTTTTCTGGTTAGTTCTGTCTATCGATTGCCATCTCTGTGAAGCATTCTAGTTCCAAAACTATTTTGGATAAGGTCTGGTCGTGTTACTCGAAGGCTGCCACCAATGCTATTCGCATACTCATCACATGTCACTGGATGAATAAACAGAGATAGAGAAAAAGGTAGAAATTTATTTGATTAAAAGGATATTCCTTCTCTTGCATCACTTGCATTGAAGATAATTTTTCTTTTTTTTTTAAATTCTTCTTATTTTTAATGTTAACATATTAAGATAAATTTTTTTTCTTATTTTTAATGTTAACATATTAAGAATTTCTTAAAAATATTATTAAAATCACTAAGAAAATATTAATTTAATGTTTCTTAAAATAATTGTAATTTTAAAAAGAATATAAAAATAAAAGAATGTATTCGGCATGTATCTCTCTCTTGGCACTTTTTGTCGCGGTTTCTCATTAATCGCTGAAAGCATTGTGACAAACAACCTTGGAATGCAGTATTTACTTCCCTTTGCGCCGTATCTCTATAACAAAAGGTTTCATTTTCGTCTCCTTTGTCCCGGTTTTAACAGCATCATCATCCTTCCACAAAAAAACTCCAAGCCCTCTATAAAAACAACAGATTGCTTCAGCATCTAATGATTTTCTGAACATTAATTACGATTTCAGATATAAATTAATTTCTTAATTGACATTTCCCAAATGGATTTTTAATAATCACTTGATACTTCTAAAAAAATTGTTTGGGTCAACTCATCTCTTTTATTATTATTATTATTATGAATAATAATAATTTACGTGGATGTCTGGGCTAACTTACGCGCATCACGACTAATCTTATGACCCACTAAACACCCTGCAAACTCAGTAAACATGTAAAATACCGCGGTAGTAATAAGCGTGCACACGAGAACTCGAACCCAAGTGCAGTGTGGATGTCTGGGCTAATTTACGCGCATCACGACTAATCTTATGATCCACTAAACACCCTACAAACTCAGTAAACATGTAAAGTACCGCGGTAGTAATAAGCTTACACACGAGAACTCGAACCCAAGTGCAGTGGAAGGAGACAAGCCCCTTCCACCACTAGACCATGACCCTCAGTGCATGTTATTATTAGTATTGATGGAGGATGTCAACTAGTTTCTTTTTTTCTTTTTCTTTTTTGTCATTTTCACTTTTTTTTTTATCTTTAATCTCTATCATTTTTTTTAATTTTTTCATTATTATAGTATTAAACAAATACCTTAATATTTGTTTTATATTTAATTTTATAAGTATTTATTTTGTTATCATAGAGTTTATTATTCAAGTTATAAATTTGACAGTTAAACTATTAAAAAAAGATCAATTTAATATGTAATTTTTTAATATTAAAAAAGTTATTTTAAGTTATTTTTTTAAAATTCATGCCATGATTTAATGGCCATCTAGATTGCTTCAATATTTATCAAGTCAATTGACTCATGTTATAAAAGCTTTTTTATGATATAATTTTAAATTTTCATCAAGTAATGATTCGAATGATAAAATTTTAATAATGATTTATTTAAATGAGTTTAATAATAATATCAGATAATTTTTTTATAAAATAAATATTTTTTTTTACATTTAATTTTTTCATTCAAGTCACAAAATAACACAATCTCGTAAACTAGTGACAAACATGTGATTTTAGTTGCATTTAGGGGACAAAGGCCAAATACATTAAAATAAGAGGCATTAGTCATTTACTATGGCAAGAGAGCTTTCACTGTATTCACAGAATGAAAGTTTTTTTTTTTTTTCCTTGTCCTTGAATTTTTTTTGGTCCTGGAATTAATTTTTGTGATTTATTTTTATGATTGTGTTTGAGAACCTTGCAATGTCGGGGAATGTTTTATTATTTGGTTGATGTTCTGACAAAATCAAATTCAATCTTATTGATTTTAATAAAGATTTGGAGATTATGGATCCGAAATTGAAGATAAAACAGATGTTTAGTCTCTTTTATTTGTTACTCAAACTTTTTTATTTAAGTCCTTTCAATTCTTTTGGTGCTCAATTACGGATCCACTTCAATTTTCCAAGTACAAAACACAGGAAAGGGAAGACAAACATGAAGTTGGTGGTTCAGCTCTGATGGGCAAAATCCGTTGCACTGACAATATCACATGAACTTGAAGGCTCTATCTCTTCACTCTTGATTTTCGTGCTGGAAATATTTACTTTTCGAATCAGATTTAAAACAGACCATTTATACCTGAACTAGTATACCCACAGGAAACTGCGCGATATCCTTTAGAATTCAAAAACTGGATGCTGATGCGAGGGAGGAGACCGTTTACCGGCAGGATAAGCCTCCAAGGGTCTTTAACGTTATACCAACAACAACACTATATGACTCATAGTATTTTTTACACCACAAACGCAAAAGCTAAAGCTAAACAAACGGATTAGCTTTGTTTGTCTTGATTGCGATTCTGACTTGCGCACATCAACTCTAGGCTATAAGCCAAACTAGGCTCACGCTCTGTATTTAGCAGCAAGTAACTGCAAAAGGGCATCGGAGTTTGCAATCCTGATTGAGGAGAGAACAACAATGGCGAAGAAGAACAAACCATGTCTTTCCCTTTCTCACTTTGTAGGGGTACTGGTTTTTTCTCTCCTCTTCGTTCCAAAATCCGTTTTGGGTGTGAAACAAGAGCTACGTTTTGGAAAAAAAGGTGAGTTCAAAATACTGCAAGTGGCAGATATGCACTTTGCAGATGGCACGACCACGCCCTGCCTTGACGTGTTACCAAATCAAATGCCTTCTTGCTCTGACCTAAACACTACTGCCTTCGTTGAGCGCATGATTCAAGCTGAGAAACCCGATATTATTGTTTTCACTGGTACACTTCCATCTGCACCCAGTAACTTTCTTTTTTTTTGGTTCCAAATTTATGTTACTGGTTCTGATTCCTTTTGTCTATGTATGATTTTATTTTGAAATTTGGAGAAAACCCAGTTGTCAATTTGTTTACCTTAGCAAGTTTCCTAATTTGCTAACAGAATATGGCATTTAGTGGCTAAGCTTTAACAAGTATGTTCCTTTCACAATCTAAGCTAATGGAAGTATTATTTGCACTGTGGCCACTAGGGGATAACATCTTTGGCTTTGATGCCACCGATGCTGCAAAATCCCTGAATGCTGCCTTTTGGCCAGCAATTGCATCGAACATCCCATGGGCTGCTGTTTTGGGGAACCATGATCAAGATTCTACTTTGTCAAGGGAAGGAGTCATGAAACATGTTGTTGGCCTTAAGAATACTCTCTCTCAAGTCAACCCTGCTAAGGCTCACATCATTGATGGTTTTGGGAACTATAACCTGGAGATTGGCGGGGTTAAAGGTTCATGTTTTGAAAACAAATCAGCTCTTAATCTTTATTTTCTTGATAGCGGAGACTATTCCACAGTTCCGGCAATCCCTGGCTATGGTTGGATCAAGCCCTCTCAGCAGCTTTGGTTCCAACGCACTTCTGCAAAGCTTCGGGTAATAATTACCAATATTTTTTACAGTCGAAGTAATCACTAGGTCATTCTATGAGCTACTTTTATCATTTATTAGTAAGAAGAACCACTACTTTGTCTACACACAAATAGAATAGACATTACGCAGATAGTTTTAACTTGAAATGAGTGCAATAGCTTAATTGTGTTCTCTTGAATAGCTATTTTTCCCTTTTCTCTTCAGAGAGCCTACGTGGGACAGCCAGAGGCACAAAAAGGACCTGCGCCTGGGCTGGTGTACTTTCACATCCCATTGCCTGAATTTGCAAGTTTTGATTCATCAAACGTCACAGGGGTGAGACAACAAGGCATTAGCTCTGCTTCTGTGAACTCGGGCTTCTTCACAACCATGGTAGAAGCTGGGGATGTGAAAGCTGTTTTCATCGGACATGATCATCTCAATGACTTCTGTGGTAAGCTTACTGGTATACAACTTTGTTATGCTGGGGGTTTTGGATACCATGCCTATGGGAAGGCAGGGTGGTCAAGGAGAGCGAGGGTGGTGTTGGCATCTTTGGAAAAGACAGAGCAAGGAGGTTGGGGAGTTGTTAAGTCTGTCAAAACATGGAAGCGCCTTGATGATGAACACCTTACTGCTGTAGATGGTCAGGTCCTTTGGAGCAAGAGTCGTGCAGGTAAGTTCTTACTTAGCAACCCTTAATTAATCACTTGCACATGTTGAAACTGTATAAGACAGACAAACGGATAGTGTCTCTCAAGGACATCGTTGTGGAGCATGACACCAATAACTATTAGGAAATGAAAAATACTGGAAACAGAAATTGCAGCTTTGGTCTTTGTATGTTAGCATATTGGTGCCTTGTGCTTTCTTGCTTGTGTTCTGGCAAAGAATATTAGCCAGTTTATTTACTTAGAGATCAATGACTTGTACTGCTGGCCGATACTAATTTGTGTTCATCTTTTTATTGAAAAGCTCTTCATTCACTTGCCCGTTTTCAATTGATATTAATTAGTTTCATCTCCTTATCCTTGAATTGTCATATTGCACTGTGCGGTTAATCGTCACTACCATGATCTACATGCTCATCAATATAGAAAATTTAGCATAGTTAGATATGACCATGATCTACATTCTCATCAATATAAAATCTCTAGAATAAGAAAAGATATAATGACATCCATTGAAAGTTCAGGCTGCAATTACCTGTCTACATTACATAATCCATTTCCTGCAATGAATCGTACAACTGTTTCTTTTGTTCCAGATGTTTCGTAGTTTAGCAACAAATTAGACAAGACATTGGCAACGCCTGTGGTGCTAGGTTGTTCACTTTTGCTTTATGTTGCGAAAAAAACCATGCTTCATTGTCTTTATGGCCTTTCACTTGATTATGAAAAGGTATATCCCTGTAACAAGGTTCCCCCCTGTCTATCTCCTTCCTTACCAAAGTGAGGTACCTTTTCACCAGTTATGGAACTTCCTTCGACATCAGTTGCTTGTGTTTCTCAGGTGTCAGTAACTGTTGCACATGTTCTGATTGGGTAGGAGCTGGTGCATTCCTGTTTTCTGTTTCATGTCTTCCCTTCTTTGTTTACTGTTTTTTCATTTGCTTGAACAGGAGTACGTCGAAAGAAACAGGTTGGTGATGCTGAGTGATGAGCACATGAGATGGCTTACCGCGAGGAATTAAGTTTTGAATCAATTTAAGTGGGAATGTTTCACATATTTTGTAACGTTAGTCATAGATTTTGATATACATGTTCTTTAAGTAAATGAAAAAAGTAAAGGTAATTACATAAGGCAATAAATGGATAATCATGCTTGAGGAAGGTTCAGGAATTTGATCATAAAATGTAATATTTAATGGTCTCTGGAAATATGATTACTCGATACGATAACGGATGGCCTGTATCTTGCACACTGAGATGTTGTGTGCAATTGCATCTGGCATGTTGTGATCCAAGCTGTATCTCGAGTCAGTATGGTTGATTACACCAAACAACATATGGTGTCCTGGAGTCAACTTATTAATCGAAATGTAATGAGCATCTTGCATTTGGTTCTTGACAAACAAAATAACGTATGCTGCTGGAAACAAATAAGAATCTGGGAATCAAAGGATCATGGAGCTTCTGGATTGTTTCTTAATTACTGATGTGGGAATTTTTTCAATGCCTATGACTGAAAACGAAATTGAAGGTATCACGACAGGGATGGCTGAAATTCTGTCATCCTGCTCAAACAGGCAGTCACGCAGAGGTGCAATATTCAGTCCTTTTTTTGCGATATCCAATCATAAATGATGAGAATATGTCAAGGTTTTTTCTAGAATGTATTAAAAATGCTATAGAAAATGTTATGAATTATGTGAAAATTGTCAAGGAAAAGATATCAAAAGACTAAATGTCTTCGATGGAGAAGCCACCTTAGCGATACATGCAACTCTATCATATAAAGATGAAGGTAAAAGATTACAAAGCCGCTGTTACAGGGTGATTTTTTAAAAAACAAAAAGCGTAGCAGCCAAAAATAGTTTTCAAAATAGCATATCCCAAACCCCTATTTGTAAAATTAACACGGTTTGACTGGACACACGATTTAACTTGCGCCACCCATAGGGATGCAGGTCCAACCTGCGCCACTTCACGGCCATGTAGGTTCCACCTGAGCGACATCAACATTAAAGTAACCATTGAATATTTTTAGCCTTTAACTATCTCCTAAAAAAACCTAATAAACTTAACAAGTTTAACTTAACACAATTCACGATCCTGCAACTTGTAATTCAATTTTATTTCCAAGTCAATTCATAATTAAACAGTTATAATTTAACTACATCTAAATTATTTATTAAATATTATAAAAAAACTAATACATATCAATTTATTATATCTCAGTGTACAGGACTTGTAACACATTGTATTACATATTGTGCTACTTTGACCAATAAGGGGAACATGCATCTCTATGAGGGGCGCAGGTTGAGGGTGACGGGGGAGGAAGAGGAGGAAGAAAGAAATAAGAGGGAAGAGAAAGAAAAGGATCCTCTTTAATTTTAAATCGAGAAGTGGCGCACGTTGAACTGGCGTCGTCTCTATGAGCGGTGTAGGTTCAACCCGCGTATCTCAAAAGTGATGCAAGTTGAACTCATACGATTTGAAGATGAGCTATTTTTTCAAATGTTTCTTTTTTATTTTTTTTTTTAAAACTTTACAAGGAGCTGTTATGGGATAATGAAGACATTAGTATTGAGATCTTGGGAAGGTGCAGTGCCATCCACAGAATGACAATGCAAACTCGTGTTTTCGCAGGAATTATGGTGGTGGCGGGGGAAGGAAGAAATGAACAGGCCAAGGATAAAAAATTATTTGAAACAAATAAACTTGTCTGCCAAGGAATGATATAATGTCAACTGTTTCGAAAAAGAAATCATCAACAAACTTTCTGGGTTTGAATGCAGACACGATTTCCATTGTGAATCCGGTTTGGATTATTGATGAGTGGATGACTATGCTTCGGGCATGGAGTTCTAAAGTTAAGTATTACCTGAGCAATTAAATGGAAGAAATATCCATGGTCCTTGCTTCTATTACTGACCAAAAACAAAGGGATAAGTTCACACTCTATTTTGCGAGGCCTATCAGCAGAAGCAGCGGAATCAAGCCAGCAATTGCTGACCGGCTGTGGCTTAAGCTTACACGTAAGGATATATTTAAAAAAAAAAAAAATTAAATTTGAAACTTATATAAATTTATATTATATTATTTTTAATTTTTATTAAATAAAGTAAAAATAATAAGATTTGAATTCATAACTATTTGATCAATAAAATTTTAATATCATATCTATAAAATCATTTAATCCAATAACTTAAGTTTTTAAATGATATGATTTATATAATTTTTTTTAACAAACTATGTTTTTTATCTAAGTCATCATTAATGATGAAAATCTTATTTAATAGCTTAAATTTTTAAATAAGATTTTAATATATGATTTATATAATTTTCTTTAATAAACAATGTTTTTTAGCTAAGTCATCACTAATTATGAAAATTAGCTAAATAACATTTTTTAAGAGATGGATCTTTTTTATAAAAAAAAAAAAATTTAAATTTACTCAAGTTATTTTTTTATATTTTTTTAATTTTATTCTTTAACATTTGGTTAATTAAAAATTAAAATTCATAATTTATTTTGATTTGATTTTTATAAAACTATCACAGTCACATATCACTCGGGTTATGAGTTTAATAGGTTAATCACAGTTGACTCGAATTATTTATTTTTTAATTTTATTTTTTTTAATATTTTTTTTCAATTTCATCATTTAATATTAAGTTGATTAAAAATTATTTTTTTATTTTTTATTTGTTTTCTATGAGATTATCTTAATTCTATAATCCAAGTGTAGATTTAACAAGTTAATCCAAGTTAACTTGAGTCAATATAATATATATTTATCTTAATATTTATAAAAAAAATTATCATTTTAAATTTTTTTAATTAAACTATATTTTTAAAAATTATTTTATCTAATTAAATTACTAAATCCTAATTAAAAAGAAAATAAAGGATAAGAAAAGAGAAAGTTACATTGCTCAAGCTGGTTATTTTATTGCGGTTATATTTATAATTTAAATTATAAATTTTTTATGTTAATTTAAATTGATAAGAGTTGATACAATATAATATATATTTTTTTAAAATATCTTTATTATCCTATAATTTAATCAAAATTACACTTCTTTTCTGGTCTTGAAAAATTAAAATTTACATTCCAAATCAAATGAAAATTTCAAATACGATGAAAAAACCAAAATGCCCTTATATATATATAATGAAAATCGTTCCAAACAACATATCTAACCCCTCTATCTCTTCTACCGACAGCTTCTCTCTTATCCCGATATTTCTCTCTTTCAAAACTCTAAATCATTCCAAAAAAAAATTATGGTTTTTAATTTTTCTCTCATTCAAATAGTTTTTATGTAAATTTATCTCTTCCCGCAAAGCTCTGGTGATAAAATTTCAAATTAAAACTCAGGAAGAACCCTAATTTTTTAATCTGTCAATTTAATGGAGAAAAAAAATTGATTCCGAGATTTCAATATTCCGGTTCTCCCAACAATGGAAGCTTTCAGATTGCTCAAGTACTGGAGAGGTGGTGGTGGTGTCTCCAAACAGAGCTGGTGAGAATGATGACGATGACGGGCCGTTTTTTGACTTGGTGTTTGCGTTTTTTGACGATAAGGAGGAGACGACAAAGAATATAAAAAAGCTTGGTTTTGTTCTGAGGCGGAACTTGTTCTGTCATCAAAGATAAAGACGAATCCACATTTTTTTTTAATTAATTATTAACAAATGCCTCAGTGGATTCTCGTTCTTGTCAGATCACAGCACGCAACATTCCTTGTATTCTTGCTTTATTTATTTTTATATTTTAAAAATGTTTTTAAAAAAATTAAAATTTGCTTTCTACGTAAAATTAATATTTTTATATATTTTAGATGGTTTTAATATATTGATATTAAAAATAATTTTTAAAAATAAAAATTATTATTTAATATATTTTAAAATAAAAATTATTTTTAAAAATAAATATAACTATACTTCCAGATACACCTTCAGAAACTGTGAAGCAAGCAGGCATTCAATGAGTACAGAAAGTGACTCGGAAGAATAAGTTTGCACTGTAACAAATGAATCCCTGGCTGCTGAGAAAGTTAATAGCGTCTAATTCTATTTTTTTTAAGTATTGTTTATTTTAAAATATATTGAAATAATATTATATTTTTTAAAGTATTGTTTATTTTAAAATATATTAAATAATATTTTTTTTAAAAAAATATTTTTAACATTAACCTATCAAAATAATTTAAGAATATTAATTTAAAATAAAAAAATTTAAACATACTTTTAAAACATAAAAATTTAAATTGCCAGCAGTGCTTTTATTTTGCCTCGCAATTTATAGAGAAGCAGGATTTTCAAGCCCATGGATTTAACAATAGTTGATTTTTGATTTTTAGGTTTTCATTTGGAGAAAATAAAAATAAGTGCTATTTTTGGGTTCAGGATCACTTTGTTCTTTAAATAAAAAATAATAGTAAATTTATAAATAATTAAATAATTTTTTTTGAATTTATTTGGGTGTGTAAGTACATAAAGTAAAGTAAGTATTACGTAGGCACGAAAGATGACTATACTTTTAAGAAACTTGATTGATATGTGCAATTTTGATTAAATTACAGGATGTTAAAGGTCAAAATAATTTTTTCATGTTTTAAATTTCTTTTTAATTTTTTTATATTTTTTTAATTAAGTCCTGTTCAGGGCTAATTTTTTTATTTTTTTTAATTAAGTCCTGTTCAGGGCTAATTAAGGCCTAACCAACAAGAAAATAACAATACCACTATAATTTTATGCAACAATTGATTTTTAATCTGATTCGCAGAGAGGGGCGTGGGAACCGGGACTATTCCTTCACCTATAACCTGTTATAAAGTTTGACACGATTCGACTAAGACTTATGATAGTTTTAAGCATTCAACTTCGGTTGCAATAAATATACTGAAAAGCGGGTACGCTAGTACCTTGTGCAGCCAGAGTGGGAACGCTGTCAGGATCGCTCTTGTCATCAACCTCAGCCAAGATTTGATCTTCATCAGGATGATTAAAAAGAGGGCCGAATGCTAGCTAGCTGCTTCGTTGATGACGACTCGGTCAAGAAAACCACATTATATAACCTGCTCTTTGTTGACTCTGCGTTCCAATTTCGTGTTGCTTTGTGCTTCATCTCTTCCTGACTTCCTCTATTTAAATTCGGCCATCTTCCTATCATCCAACACCTCGCTTCCAATTCTCTCTTAATTAGGCTAAACTTGGCCAAACACTCCGCTTCATCATCTTCTCCTGCATATCAGCCCAATGGCCACCCCCAGGATAGTAGCACCCTTATGT